GTGCATATTTTCCTGGGTTTCAGAGCTGCAGGGATCTAGCCTGCTCTTCTTTTCTGCCCAACAGCCCCTCAGCACCCTCTTGAGACAAACTCTACCTCAGCTCTTCCGCAGGGCAGGGTTAGTCCGGGTGTCCCTGTGTGTGGGGAGCATGGTAACGAGGAGTGGAGAGGGCTGTTTGCAAGCTGAAGAGAGGCCTATGGGAATGGGGTCTGGAGACAGGGAGATAGAAAGAATGGCCATCTCCCCCAGTGCAGAGAAACAGGGAGATCTTAAGCTCTTTCACTGGATTTCTTTTTCTTTCTTTCTTTTTTTTTTTTTTTTTTTTTTTTAAGATAGAGTTTCACTCTTGTTGCCCAGGCTAGAGTGCAATGGTGTGGTCTTGGTTCACCACAGTCTCCACCTCCCAGGTTCAAGCAATTCTCCTGCCTCAGCCTCCCGACTAGTGGGATTACAGGCATGCGCCACCACACCTGGCTAATTTTGTATTTTTAGTAGAGACGGGGTTTCTCCATGTTGGTCAGGCTGGTCTCGAACCCCTAACCTCAGGTGATCTGCCCACCTCAGCCTCCAAAAGTGCTGGGATTACAGGCTTAAGCCACAGCATGCAGCCGTTTCTTTGGATTTCTACTCCTTCTTCCTTCCTAATATCCCCCCACCCCCACCACTTCTTCTTTTTTTTTTTGAGACGGAGTTTCGCTCTTGTTACCCAGGCTGGAGTACAATGGCGCGATCTCGGCTCACCGCAACCTCCGCCTCCTGGGTTCAGGCAATTCTCCTGCCTCAACCTCCTGAGTAGCTGGGATTACAGGCACGAGCCACCATGCCCAGCTAATTTTTTGTATTTTTAGTAGAGACGGGGTTTCACCATGTTGACCAGGATGGTCTCGATCTCTCGACCTCATGATCCACCCGCCTCGGCCTCCCAAAGTGCTGGGATTACAGGCTTGAGCCACCGCGCCCGGCTTCACCCCCACCACTTCTAACCACCACCCCCAGGGCTCAATGTTGGGTGGGCTCAGCTGAGGAGACTGGGACCCTCAGAGACATGTTTCTCACTGTACTGGGAGACCTCTACTTCCTGAAAGGCCACGTGGGGCAGAAATTCCCTAGAGCAGTGTTTGTTGAACTCCAGCAGTGCATATGAATCCCCCAGGGACCTGGGTGAGATGCAGAGGCTGAGTCAGCAGGTCTGCAGTGAAGCCCCAGCCTGCTCCCAGGTGGTGTCCATGCCACAGAGCTGGACTGCACTTGAAGTCATGAGACTCTAGGTAACCCCTCCAAAAGGCAACCAGCCTGCTGCCTCTCAGAGAGCTGCCTCCTTCCCCACCCCATTCCCCCGACCCCATCCCACCCTTACCAATGGTGGTGACGGTGGACACAGAAAAGAAGAAGGAGCCCACGAACTCCCAGCGCCCCATGCTGGTGGTGTTGCTGAGGAGGCTGGCACCGTTTTTGTATGCTTGGATGATGTCCTGGGGAAGAGGCTGCAGTGATCACCAGGCTCTGTGGGGTGATGGATTTCCTGCATCCCATAACACACACACACACACACACACACACACACACACACCCCTCACAATTACTCTTCAATCCCATCCCACCAGGGTAAGGAGACGCTACTCCTCTAACTAAGGGCTCACCAGGTGCAGCTACCATCAGCTACCATGGGGACAGCTTCTTCCCCACCCTTTACCCAGGGCCTAGGTCGGGATGGAGTCCGAGTAAACCAACCACTCATTCTCTCCCCTGCTTACTCCCATTCCTGCAGGAAACACTAGGTCAGGCATGAAGCGTGGTGCTTTAGGGGACATGACCACAAGAGACACGACCGCAGCCTTCAGATAAACCTAATTAACTCTAATATGATGGAGTCAATGTCACTTTGGGCATAAAGGAGGCAGTGTAGCTACACAATCCTGGACAAATTGCTCAACTTCTCTCTGTGTCTCAATTTCCTCACCTGTAGAACGGTAATACAAATAGTACCTACTTCATAGACTTGTTGTGAGGATTAACTAAGGTATTATGTGTAGACTTAGAACAGTACCTGGCACATGGGGATAGCAGTTGCTACCATCATCATTACTAGGCATATAATGTTGCAGGACTCTGGGGAAGAAGGGCGTTCATTCTCATTTGGGTAGGAGCAGAGGACTCATAGAGGAGGTGGTGTTTTAGCTGGGCCTTTCTTTAGGGTCAGGTAGAATTGCTTCTGGTGGAAGGATGTTTAGGTAGATGGGACAGCAGTGCTGAGGCTGGGAGGTTGGACTGCCTGACCTAGATTAGGGAGACTGGTGAGAAGTGATTGAGGTCAAGCTGTGCTTGGCTCTGCCACGCCAGGGATGAAGTGGCAGGTTTCATCCAAGGTCACTGAGCAAAGGGGAGGTGGGATCTGGTCTGTGTGCTCTGTGGCAGCTGGCAGTATAGAAGGGGTTGACCAGAGGCGAGAGACTCCTGCAGAGGTGAGTGATAGGCCCTGGCCTGCCTCCTCATGGAGTGGTCCAGGAAGAACAGAGAGGAGATATGCAGAAGCTCAGGCCTCTGGGCCTATTTAGTATGGGCAGTAAAGGAGATGTTGCAGAGGATTGTGAGGGTGTGTGGACATGGGGCAGACAACCGAGATTTAGGACAGGTGGAGGAGCAGGGCTGGGAGGAGGAGGACCGCTGGCTCCTGGCCTTGAGGAATTTGAGAAGTTGTATGTACATATCTAGTGCTCAGAAAGAAGATCTGGGCTGGATACCACATCCTTATTCCTGGAGATGGCTGAAGCCACAGGAGGGCTGAAGAAGGGGGTGAGACCGGGATGGAGGCAGCTGGAGAGAAAGCCCAAAGAGATTACAGCCTGTCTGGGAAGCACCCACATTCACAGGTCCCCACTGAAGTAGTACTCATGGTGGTAAATAGCTCCAGCTTGGCTATGTAGCCCTGCATTCGTATTTAACCTCTCTGAGCCTCAGTTTATTCACCTCTGAAACGGGATGATAAAAACAGTACCCACCTGCGAGGGAGGTGAGAATGAAACGCGTGAATACAGGTAAAGCACTAGGAGCAGTGCTTGGCACATAGTAAGCGCTACAGAGGCGTTTACTGTTATTATCATCACCGTCACAGTCATCTCCCTGGGCCCAGGCTGCTTGTAACTGAAGTTGACCACCTTCGCGAGGGCAATAGCAGGCAGCCTCGGCACCAGGGCCCAGCAGTTGGGCTGTATTTGCAGAAGTCTGCAGGTGGGGAGCTGGAGGAAGCCCTTTAGGTCCTTACTAGAGATAGGCCTGGCCCTGCCTAGCTCCTGACCTCACCGAATCCGCCTAGTCTGAGGGTTCAGAACACCACTTCCGCTCCATGCTGGGTCCCTTCCCACCCTGGCACGATTCCCTGCCACCTTCCGGGAATGGCTTTGGGCTGGAGACAGGGTGGAGGAGCCACCGGGACTGCAAGGCGGGGATTCTGGGCTGGCGCGCAGGTGTCTGGACTCTGGGCTCTTGGACCGGGTGGAAAACCAAGCCAGGGCCCGAGACATCAATGTCTCCGCCGCCGAATCGAGCAGCTGCCAGTCTGGCGTCGCTGCAGTCGGAAGACGCGCCACCCCTAGAACCCTTCCCAGCCTCCTCCGCCTCGCTTAGTCCCACCGTCTAGGAGCCTCTGCTCAGTCACCTTTACATCCTCCCCCAAACCCCGCCTTCAGCCCTTGCGGGCATCCCCGCGGTGGCGGCGGTGCGCCAAGCCCTCAGAGTCAAGCGGGTTCAGCCAGCGAGCGGCCCTGCGTCCGCCCTCGTCTCGAACCCTGGTCTGCGCACCTCAAGCCCGGTCTCTGAGTTGCTTGTGGCCCCGGCCAGCACGCCTCGGGCCCATTCCACCCACCATCCGGGAGAAGCGCACCGTCCCCCAGGCTCCAACGGCCGCGGCCGCGCTCCTGCGCATCCTTAGACTCGCCGCCCCTGCCGTCCCAGCCCCCAATTAGCAAATGCGCGCCTAGGTTCCCCCTCTGGAAGCGGCTAAGTGTGGCCTTTTAGTCCTTCGCCCAGCAAGCCCAAGGCGACCTTTCCCGGGACAGGCCGGGCGGGGCCGGGGGCGCGCGCTCCCTGCCTTCCTCGTCCTCTCCCCTAAATTTGGATCTGTCTCCCGACAGGGCCAGCGTGCCTTCTCACTCCCAAGGAGGACTCCGCCCGGCTTTTCGCAGTCCACTCGCTAGAGCGGGGGTCTTTTCCTCCGAGGTCCCCCAACCCTCTGGTCCCAGCGCAGAAACGCCCATCCCCGTTGTGCTCGCCTCTAGGTTCCGGCGATTCCCTGACCAGGGCCTGAGAAGGCCCCCGCGCCCTCGGCCTGTGCACCCTGTGGCCCCCTACCCCACCCTGCCGCACCCGGGCCGACCCTGCTTGTCCCTGACCCGGATCAGCGAGTCCAGCGCCGGGCGGTCCAGACACGTGAAGTTCTCCAACAGCGCCCACTTGTCGCGCTGGAAGCTGCGGCTGGAGTCCTGCGCCGCGCGGCCCTCCAGCGTCCAGAACACGCCGGTGCCCAGCGCCAGGTAAGCCAGGTAGGCGAGCAGCAGGAGCACGGTGCTGGACATCACGCAGCCACAGCCCTGGACCCTGCCTTTGGGAGCCGCCCGGCCTCGCTGTCGGTACATAGTGGGAGAGGCGGGGCGCTGGAGCCTGGAGCGGTGGACAAGGACCCGGGGAAGGAAAGGGCCAGGAGCCCAGCTCGTATCTCCTCTCGCAAATGCCTGCGGGTGCCTGGGGAGGAGGAGTGCTGGGGAATGGGACAGCCTGGCCCCACCCAGCCTTGGGATCCAATCCCAGGGACAAAAAGAGGCTCTGAACTGTGGACATCTGGCCCCGCCTCAAATGTGTGCGCAGTGCCCACCCGCTAGGCTTAGGCCAGGAAGAAGGAGAAAGCTGCTGGGTGACCGCAGGCGTAGAGAGAAGGGGCCCGGACCCCCTTAACATTTCCTGAAATGAACAGGGGGAGGGACTCCTGGAAACTGCACTCACAGGAAGAGATAGTAGAGACCAACTTTATTGTCTTGGGGCCCCTGCCTAAGTTCTGGGACGGGGGGCTGTCTCCAAGGACTTGCTGTCTGCCAATCTCAAGACCTCCCTGGGTCTCCCACACCTGTCCTTTCCTTTGTACCCAAAAAGAGGGGCCCCAGCTGATTGCCACTTGTCCATGAGCTTGGGAGGCAAGAGGAGCCTTGACCAAGAGGCTTGTCCACTGCTTGCTTCTGAGAAGGCCCCCAAAACCCTTCTACCCGGAGTGGAGGAAGGTCCAGGCTGTGTGAAGAGTCAGTGGGTCCTCAGCTTCCCAGTCCTCTCTCGGATGTGGCGAAGTCCTGGGGTGTGACTTGGCCTCTTCTTGCTGCTGTAGGTCTTCCCCTGGGTCTCCTGCCTGGAGCCTCCTTGGCTCCACAGCCTTGCCTCAGTCCTGTGCAGAGGAACCCAGCCATGTGGGAGCCCACTTACTGTTGGGTGGTGGGAAAGGCAGAGGCCAAAGTTTCCAGGCCTCGGGATGGATTGGTCTAAATCTCTCCTTCTGGTCAGGGACGTTGCAATCTGGCAGGGGAAAGGCCAGACCTAGAGGATGCATTCCTGAGAGAGGCCAGATGTTCATTGAGCTCACTTTCTGGAAGGATCCTGGTCTCTGCTGGCTCTCTGTCTTCCCGGGGGTGTTTGCAAAGGCCCTTGAGAAGGCAGGAGCCCAGAAGGAGGGATGAAGTTAAGGGGGTGGCCTGTGAGGGTCAGGGGAGGCCATATTTGGGAAACTGGGCAGGACATCCAAGAGGTCCTAAACCTTGTTCAAGGACAGCCCTAGACCTCTAGGCAAGGGGAGCTGGAGAGCTTTGAGCACCCGCCAATCCCATGCGCTCTCATCAACCGTGGGGCTGCTCCCATCATAGCATTTTGGGTACTGTGTTGGGGCTGCCTCTTTGCTTGTCTAGCACCTAAAGGCACATCAAGGGCAGGCACTTCCACTCCTGTATCCCCAGACCCTGGCACAGCATCTAGCACATAGTAGGGACTTGGCAAATGCACTGTACAGGTATCAAATGAGGCAAAAGTGAAGTCATCCTTTGTGTAAGGTCTCCTGGAAGGGGAGGGCAGTGGAGATCTGGCTGCTTTTCCAAGCTACCTTTGGGTGGAAGGCTGTGGCAGGGGCTCTGGGACAAGGGTGCACCTCTCTATCCGCACGTTTTTAATCCTAGCTCACATCTCCTCTCTGTTCTTTTCTTGGACATACCTTCTCCGTTATCTCTTGGGAGAGCTCCTGTAACCAGTCCTGGCTGAGAAGCGAGGGGGTTAGAAGAGGAGGAGACAGAGCTGGAAATCCAAAGAGTAGGTAAGTGGACTGGGGAGGATGTAAGGGGTTTCTGGGGCCACCTGGGGGCCTCATGAAGAAATAGGGATCTTCTGAGGTCTGGGGAGTCCACTGGGGTCACGGGCTGCCCTGTCCTTGACGCCGAGGCCCCTACTGAGCAGCCAGAGCTGGCAGCACCTATGCAGAAGCAGGGGAACTAGTGGGAGGATCAGCGCCAGCCACGCCAGGCCCAGGAGGATCCAGATAGCTGCCAGGCTCCGGTACACTGAGATATAATGCTTGCTGGGGTCTGTGCCTGTCAGGGAACAGAATGGCATCAATGCCAGGGGTCTCAGGACGCAGCCACCTCCAGTTTCCATAGGGACCCTCACCAGCCAGAATGCCCTCTCCCTCTTCCTCGTAACAAGGATAATCAGTGGAGGTAGGTCTCCGGGAGGTGATGTGAGTCCTAGACCAGAGACTTCTGAGGACGTTGCTTAGAATCCACAGTAGTCCCAGAAATCACTGGTTTGGCTTCTTTGAATGACCAGGAGCTATCTTATCCTCAATAGTTGTCCTCAGCTGACATCTCTCCATCTCCCAAACCCCATACCCCCCCACCCAAACCTGATATATGTGACTGTCTTGTTCTCACCAACAACATAGTCCCCGAAGCCGATGGTGCTGAGAGTGATGAAAGCAAAGTAGAAGCCCTCGCCGAAGCTCCAGCCCTCCACATGGCTGAAGACCATGGGTGGGAAGATGAGAATGACCAGCGTCCCCAGGGTCAGGAACAGAGCCAGGCCCAGGACTCGCAGTAGCTGGGAGGGAGGGAGTTGGCTCCTGAGTCCACTTGAAAGGCTCCAGGATGGTACGAGGTTGTGGGGAGTCCGGGTTAAACATGGGAATGGGACTGGGCCATAGCTAGGCCCCTTCCCTGCCCTGCAGACCCTTGAGGTGGGGGTTGTATCTATGTGTGCATGACCTAGTCCCACCCAGGGAAAGATTTGGGCAGAGGGATTGCATTAGTGGATCAAGGAGCGACTTGGAGACCCTTTGGGCTTGGGAATCACACTTGAACAGGCTCCCTGGGGACTCAGATCTGGGACAGAAAAGTATCATTGAACAGTCTGCATGCCTCTGCCCTTGCATGCGGCTGGCCAAGGGTGGGCACTGGGGGCCCCCTGGGTGGCCTGCAGAGCTTGTTCGCTACTGCACAAAAGGATGTCGCAGTTCTGTGATGTCCTTGGAGATGTGCTACTGAGATCCCCCACTCAAAGGGGGACTGTGGGCCAGCTGCCAGCTCCTTCAGCTGCAGAGAACCTCCTGGTCCAGGGACACCCCCTTCCTAGGAAGGCCACACCCAGTGCCTGATTGAGGTAGCTATGAAAGCCTGGCTGGTTTGGCCCACTGTGGGACAACTCTTGACAGCTCGCACATGCTGATGAGCTCCCTGAGGCCAAGCCTTTGTAGAGCATGCACAGAAATCGAACTCACCACTCTGCCCAACCCTGCCTTCACCCTTCCTCTTTCACAGGCATCTACCCTAACACCATGCATGCCACACTCCATCTCAGCATTGGCTTCTGGAGGACTCCACTTGCAACAGCTCTGTCATAGCAGGCCCGTAAGGGAATGAGGGGGCATACCTGGGAGCGCCTGGGCTGGTCCTCCCATCTCTCAATGGTGGCCAGGTGGGCCCGCAGCCCTGTGCCCAGGTGGTTGAGGAAGATCACATTGAGCGGGATGCCCAGCAGGGCATAGAAGACACAGAAGACCTGACCTGCTTCTGTGCTGGGTGCCAGGTTCCCATATCCTGCAAGGGGAGGGAGTGTGTGCAAATATGGAGAAAGGGAGACTCCAGAAAGCCCGCTGCTCCTCCTCCCCAGCCTCTAGCCAATGTTTGTCCGCCACCACCTCTTGGGGTGAGAAGGAGAAGCTCCCCTGTTCCCATGAACTCTGCTGGAATATTTTTATTTATAGAACTCCTGCTCCTTTTTGAAGGCCCATCTCAAATGACTTTGCCTCCATAAAGCCCTCCTTTCTGCCACTCTCCTTCTCCCTGCCGGGTGTGGATCCCCACAGTGTTTGATGTCATTGCTATGTAATTATTGACTTTGTCTTCAATTATTGGTTTGTGTGTGTGTACTTAGTGTGTTCCTCTTTGTTGGACTGGAAGTTCCTTGAGGGCTGAGGCTGGGTCTGATCCAAGTTTGTATTTCCCACCCCCAACTCTATCACTCTCCCTGGAATGTCACCCGAGTTCAAGCAAAGTATGTGGAATTGGACTTCAATGAATGGATGGGGGCAGACCTGGGTCTGACAGTTTCCTTGGGATGGGACGGAGTGAGTTTTCTGGCTGAGGGGGTGTAGCAGCTGCTCTCGTGGCCCTGTTCCCTCAGAACACACAGTATACTACCTGCAGCTTTGGTGGACAGTGGCTGTAAACAGATCACCCCCAGTTCCCAGTTCCTGCATATCTCTACCTGAGAGGTTCTTCTGGTCGAAGGAGTGTGCTTGGTCTATGGGAAGGTTCAAAATACTGGGGAACAAATACAGTCTCCGGACCAGATCTCAACCTCTGAGGGCAGGGGTTGGTAGCTAAACGGCCTCTCATGCTTGTCCCCGCTTGGGACTGTTCTGAGGACGGGCTTTATCTAGCCTCTCAGAAGGTCCCAAGCAGAAGTGAGCCCAGTCACCTAAGCCAGTAATCTGCTCATTAATGCCAATTTCGTCGCCTTCCCCTCCCTACTGTTTCACTTACCCACTCCCTCCCTGGGCTTCCTGAATCATCTCCTAGACAAACCACATCCTTGTCTCAGCATCTGCATTTAGGAATCCCAAACTAAGACAGGGGGCTTATCGAAGCTCTTCTCTACCCCCAGCCCTTTACCTATGGTGGTGACGACTGTGCCTGCGAAGAAGAAACTGCTGCCAAAGTCCCAGTTGCTGGGGTTGGTGGAGTTGCCTTTGGGGTTCACACCTTTCACCCAGGCTTCCATGATGACCTGTGGGGAGGTAACATGGGGTGGGGGGTGAGGGGAAGAAGGAGCTGATGGTTACTGGACACCAGTTGGTGCCACGCTCTTGGCCGGGTGCTTTTGTGTCATCTCATCTAATGATACTCTTAGATGGTATTGTTCTCATTTCATGGAAAAGGAAATGAAGGCTCAGAGTGGCTAAGAGACCTGTGCAAGGTCACTGGACTCCACCTCCAGTGTCTGTTCCACTGGCCAGGGCTGACTGAGGTGTGGGCTGCAAGCACGGGCTGGGGTGGGAGATGGGCCTGAGGGGTAAGGTAGAGGAGGCTCAGGGAGGGGGTCCCGCGGGAGATGCTGCTGGTGGCCAAAAGGATGGCATGCATATCGGTCGTAAGAACAATGGGAGTGTTTCAGGTTGGATGTGTCTGGAAGGCATTGCTGGGGAACATAGGGTTTCAGGACCATAGGGAAGCCGTGGGCTGCCTGCCATGAAGCTAACGGTGGGACAGAGAACCCTGTGTTCCCTAAGTGTCCAGGTAAGTGGGCCCCCTTGCTCTTTGCTGCTTTCCAGTGAGCCCCAGCCCTTGCCTATGGGAGAAATTCCAACAGAGGCCAGGACAAAAGTGGTGTGTGTGAGTGTGAGAGAGTGTGTGTGTGTGTGTGTGTGTGTGGTAGTTGGTGTTTATATGTGCTGTGCTGTATGCATGTGGTGTGTGTGTGTGTGTGTGTGTGTGCGTGTGTGTGTGTGGGGGGTGGTTGGTGTTTATATGTGATGTGTTGTATGCATGTGTTGTGCGTGGCAACTGTGTGTTGCACATGCGTGCATGTGTATGTGTATATGTGTGTTGCACGTGTGTGCATGTTTAGCGTATGTGTGTGTTGCATGTGTTTTCACAGAACCCAAACCTTTGCAGGCTCAAGCCTATACCTCCCCCTCAACCGCCCCACCTCTAACAACCTCTAGTCCCTGGACCCAGCCCCCTTGGCAAATGGGCAGGGCTCTCTCCTCACCTCCCACCAATCCTCTCCCAGGGTAGCAGCACAGTCTTGCCACCTGTTAGAGCCCCAAAGGCAGGAGGAAGCCAGGGACACAACAGCTCTGGCTTCCCACTCCTATGGGAACGGGTTCCCGCTGGCTGCGTGGGTGTGCTGGGATCAGGGCTGGGGTGACCCTGGTGGACCAAGCCAGTCAGGGCGTCCGCGGTCACAGGCTGTCTGCTTCTCCTCACTTTGACGGGAACGGCCTCTTAAGATGTGAACTTTGGCCTGCCTCTCTTTCCCACACCCACAAAGTGGCCAGGGCCCAACGTTCCTGAACAGGCTCTCTCTCTGGAGACCCTCACTCTTGGGGGCAGGTACTCTAGTCCTGGGCCATCTCCAACCCCCTACCCACCCCGCCAGGCCTGCAGCCCTCACCCTGCTGAGGTTGCTGAGAGCCTGTGCGTGGATGCAGGCAGCAGCGGGTTCTGCCTTCCCAGTTCTGTGAACTTGGGCAAGCAGTGTTTTCCCACGGAGGCAATTTTTAATACTGCTTTTAATACTAGTTACGCCCTGTGTGTGAGGGAGTTCAACAGGAATGTGTGTTCTTCCAGAATCACCCCAGCGTTCTGCTGCTGCCTGGCCGAACTGCCCCCGGCAAGGAAGGGTCTCTCCCAAGGCTCAGGACTCTCAGGGAAAGAGATGTCTGTCTTCCCTGGGGAGATCCTGGGATTAATCAGTGGCAACCCCCTCAGGGCTGCAACCAAGCAGATAGCCTCTCTTCTTCTTGGTTTACAGAGCGAGTTCAGGTCACCGCTACCAACCCTTCCCATGCCCTTCAGCTTGGCTTTCACCTCCAATGCACAGCAGAGGGAGGAGGACGTTTCAGCTTCTCCAGGGCCTCTGCCTCATTCCCAGGGTTTTGGGGGACTCCTAAACTGTTCTCAACCCTGAAGAGGTACTGTGGACCCCTAACTTTGACTAACCCTATCCATCAGGGAGAAGAGAGTAAAACCTGAAGCTGGAGGCCTCATTTCCTGGTCTCTCACAGCTTCAGGAAGTTCTCTGTGGCCACCAAGCCCATGTACCATCTTTTAGGCTGGCTGTTCTGTGTCCTGAGGGGCCCCAGCATCGCCTGGGGGGCTTGTTGACACCCAGCCTGCAGGACCCATCCTGGAGTTCCTGAGTCAGCAGGTGTGGAGTGGGGCCTGATACCTGCATTCCTAACAGGCTCTCAGGTGATGCTGATTCTGGTCCTGGGGCTACACTTTGAGAACTACTGCTCGAGGCTGCATCCTGGCCCCAGCACTTGCACTAATTAGTCCAGTGAAGACCCAGGGCTACAGCGCCACAGGCCTGGGAGTGAGTGCTGTCTCTACCAGTGGCTGTGCAGCCTTGGCCAAGGTATTCTACCTCAGTTCCCATCTACAAACGGGAGATAGGGATTGTAATAGATAATTATGGGAAGACACCGGTAACACGCTCAGTGTTAGGTGAGTGAGTCATGATTGGATGAAGCTGGCCATGATCACCCTGCTCCCCACTGGTTTAGGCACATTGTAAATGCTCAGTAAATACCAATTATCAATAGATAATTGATCATTGATAAAGTGATTCTGCATTTGGTCTATTCCTTTGCAGGGGCTGTCACTCCAGCACCTGTTTCAGATGCATTCACCTCCCCCCAACAATACCTGGTTTTGCCTTATTTCTGGGAAAGAGAGAAGCAGAGATGACCCAGGCAGAGGGTGACCCACTCTGTTACCAAGAGAGGGCCCTCTTTGGGTGCAGTGCTGGCAATCTCAGTCACCTTGGCCATTGCCACCCCAAACCCAGCTCCAGGTACAAACAGGCCAGGAAAGGCCAGCTTGGTGGCTGCTCCTGGCGTTTATCTGTGTCCCCCACCTGCAGCTGGGGAGAGGGCAGAAGGAGCTGCAGCCCCGGAGTCGGGGAAGGGGAAGTGTGAAAGTGTAGGAGAAGGAAATTAGCACAGCATTGATAACACCGACATCTGGTTCCCATTCATCCAGTAAGTGACAGCTTAGAGAGCGCTTTTGATCTGCTGTCAAATGTCTGCAGTTTATATATGGTTATTCTCTTTGCCTTATAGATGAGGACATTTGGGTCTAGAGAGGTTAAGTGACCTGATCAAGGTAGACCTGGGGTCAGAATCCAGGACCAGATCTCATCAGGCTCTCTGTTCCCATCACATGCTGCTTCCAAACGGGGCATCAGCCCCTGGGTGAGGACTCTGGATCTGCCACAGGAACCCCCAATCCACCAGCCTTCTCGAGCCTCTCCATCCCAATCCCACATCACTCCCCTTCACCTGCACAAACTGCTCCAGGGCCCACTGGTCCAGGCAGGTGTAGTTCTCCAGGAAGCGCAGCTTCTCCAGCTGGAACTCGTTCCTGGACTGAGCTTCTGCCTGCTTCTCTAGCAGCTGGAAGATGGTGGCACCAAGCAGCAGATAGCCGACATAGGCCAACAGCAGGGGCAGCACCCGGCCACCCCAGCAGCTGCAGAGTCCAGCACCGGGCATGGCGTGGCCAGGATCCTGCCAGGGCCGTGGGGCTGGCTAAGGGGAAGAGGCGGGAAAACAGGTGAGGAGAAAGCAGCAGGGATGTGCCCTGCCTGCCGCCTGCCCTGCCCTCCTCCACGGCACAGGTGTCTGGAGGCTGGGGAAGACTGTTTGAACAGTGCGGCTCAGGTTGGCTGCACTAAGTGCTCTGCTGTGAGCGCAAACAGGCCGGCCACCCCCACCCGGCCTTTGTTTCCATGGAAGTCAGTATCATGGACCCTTCAAAGAGACCTACCAGGTCTTCCTGAGTGTTTCATGTCTCTCCGTCTGGCCTCAAGTTGGATGGATGTTTCCGGGCTAAATCGGATAGGTGTGCTCACTCTGTACAGGCCCCAGCGGGCTCTCTTGGCAGCCCCCAGCATTTTCACCCTTGAAGCCTGCAAGCCCCCAGCTTAGGAGCTGGGAAGAGATCAGAATGGGTGTGAATAAACCTTCTACTCAGTTGCCTTGGCTACAAAATGGGGCAGGAGAATTGACCTGCCTATTGGGGGAACCTCAGGATGAGTAAACTGAGTGACAAATCAGGGCAAAGTAAATAGCTGATTGTCTCGCTCAGCCTGATGGTAAGAGTATCACGGTTGATTCTGCTGATAAATTGGACACAATGGCTTTATAGCTTTTGCTGATTTGTCTTGAATGAAACTCTCTAGTGAGTTACCTTCAGAGGATATGTTGGCGAAATATCCATGTGAATTGAAAAGAAACTTAAAGTATATCCTGATCCTAGGATGGTCACAGCAGCTCTGAGTGGGTGGAATTGAGGGTGTTTTCCTTTCTTTTTGCGTGTGCGTGTGTGTGTGTGTGTGTGTGCACATGCTTCTTCACATACATGTACAGCAGCTTTATTGAGATATGTTTCATATGCCATATCATCCACACATTTAACGTGTGCAATTCAATGGTTTTTAGTATATTCACAGAGTCTTCAGGGTTTAGCCTTGTTGCAACATATAACGATACTTCATCCTTCTTTCTGGCTGAGTAATATGTCATTGTGTGGCTATAACACATTTGTTTATCCGTTTGATTTCCAGTTGATGGACATTTGGGTTGTCTCTGTTTCCTTCTAATGAATAAAGCAACTATGAACCTCTGTGTGTGAGGTTTTTTTTTTTTTTTGTGGACACGTTTGCATTACTCACGGGTACATACCTGGAGAGGAATTTCTGTACTATCTGGCCACTCTGTGTTGAACTTTTTGAGGAACTGCCAGCCTATTTTCCAAAGTGGCTGAATCATTTTATATTCCCACTAGCACAGGGCGAGGATTCCGATTTCTCTGCTGTGTTTTCTGCTGTTTCCTTTAATGAGCTGTGGCTATAGACACTATGAGTTGCTTGCTGAGTATCCGTTCCCTCCTTCCCAGCTAGCAGAACCCCCGCTTTGTAAGTGTCAACCCCAGGCAATGGAGCATAATTGGTGTAAGTCATCGTGCTAATCTTCCTGCCCTCTGTTTCAGCCCCTGAGAGCAGTGAAGTCAGTGCAGACCCATCCGACAGTGGGGCAAGAGGGTCAGGGCAAGGAGAAAGCCCAAGAAGGCACCACAGTCCCAGCCTCAGCCTGGTTCCTGGGAGCTCTGGCAGGTGAAGCATACCCCAGCGAGTCCCAGCAGGGGAGCTGGGCTTTCATATCCCCACATGAGTCAGTCACTCATGCATTTCTCAGGCAAGATGGCTCCAGGAGGCGGTGGAGAGTCCACCGAAGGAGAGCCCCAGGTGCAGGCTAGGCCACTGGAAGAAAGACACTATCAAAGCCTGGGGAGGAGACCTGAGGTCAGTTCGTCCCCTGCACCCCCTTTCCCAGGCTCCCTTGCAGTTGGGGGTGGCTGCATGACCCAGGTCCAGCCATGATTGGGCAGAGTGGGCTGGGGAGGTTCCGGTAAAATTGTTGTCTCTTGACAACGGGTTCATCTGCAGGCGGCCCCACATTTCTCCCTCTTCCTGTCTGGACCTGCTGAGCCTCTTGTGTCCCTGAGGGAGAGGTCATGGGCACTGCAAAGGCACTGGACCAGTTCCCCGGCACACCTCTCTGTAGAGTTCTTTTTTTGTTAGAAACATAAACCTTATTTGTTTCAGCCACTATTAGGTATTCTGTTACTTCCCAATTGTTATTATGAATTTTTTTTTTAATTTGTATTTTTTGAGACAGAGTCTTACTCTGCCACCCAGCCTGGAGGGCAGTGGTGCAATCTCGGCCCACTGCGACCTCCGCCTCCCAGGGCTCAAGCAATTCTCCTGCCTCAGCCTGCCTAGTAGCTGAGATTACGGGCATGCGCCACCACACCTGATAATGTTTTGTATTTAAGTAGAGACAGGGTTTCACCATGTTTCTCAGGGTGGTCTTGAACTCCTGAGCTCAGGCGAGCTACCCGCCTCGGCTTCCCAAAGTGCTAGGATTACAGGCATAAGCCACTGAGCCCCGCCTGAGTTCTTTTTCAAAAACTATTCAAGGCTTATTTGAGTTGGAAGACATCGGAACACACTCCAGGTATTTCCGGTAATTAGACTGTGCTGTAGGAACCGGGGAGCAACCAGGGTTCCGGAGCCTTCTAGCTTTTTACCAGCAGCCTGGCCTGACCGCTCGCCACTCACCCCAGGTGCTTCCTGTCTGCCGTTTCTCTGCCTTGGGGCTTCCCTCCTGGCATCCGGTCAGATCAGCTCCATTGTCCTCTGCTTCTTTCTCTTGGTATTTCTTTACTTAAATCCTTCATTGAGGGGCTAACTGCCCAGGAGTGCCTTTTCATGATGGCTACTCTAGAGGTGTTTGGTGGGCTGAGGATGGCCCGTCCTTGGGTCAGGTGCCTCGCTCAGCTGACCTGCCCCAGCCTAGGGGACGGGGGCATCACACGTGTAGCCACCACCATATCTGCTGTGGCAGAGACAGTGGCCTGTCTGTCCAGGACAAGCCACAGTTGTTTTTGGAATAAGGAGGAGAGAACAAAAGAGAGGGAGAGAAAGACAGAGAGAGAAAAAGAGAGAGACCTTGCAGAAGATAAAACAAGGGGGAGAAATTTATTATTTTCAGGTATGTGGATGATCCATAGACTGGTAGTAAGACAGTTCTGCTAAAAACCAAACAAAACCAAACAACAAATTGCAGTGAGAGGAGGTGGAGCCCACGTTGTATGCGCTGTTGATTAAGAACGTCCCCATGCAGTGACAAGCCTGCAGCCCTTTGTCTGCCCTGTGGCTTAGGCACTTAAGCACGGCCCTGTCTGGGGGTGCTGTGATGGAGCCCATCTTCTCTGGAATTCTGCTGCTTCTGGATTCCTCTGAGGCCATCCGGGGGCCTCTGAAGTGGTTCTGTGCAAACCTCACCTCAGCTGGTCCTGGAGCTTTCTCAGACAGCACCTTGCTGGGATGTGGGCTTATCGTGGAGGGAGAAGAAAGCATCTGGAATCAGATGGGGCAACAGAGGGCTGGCACTCATCTCTACCACAGGTGCACCAGCTCCTGCCTTTGGCAAGAGTTAGAATTATATCTGAAAGGCAGTGTGAGAGTCAAATCCTATTTGATTGCCCTGGAGCTCAATACATGGAGAGCTCTGTCGTGTATCATTTAGAAAGCTCATCCGTGGATGTCTGCAGGGTCTCAGGCAGGACTGAGCAGCTCTGTAGCACTGAGTGTCTTCGATCAGTCTGGACACAGCCCACAAGTAATGATGATTGTTTTAAGAGAGACGGAAATGAAGGACAAGAATACGGACTATCTGCCTGGAAGAAGCGGTTGAGCACAGTGGGCCGTAGGGACATCTGAGATGGGCTGGGGTAGAGAGAGAGCTAAATCAGCCAATGGGGTGCCCTCCCTCCCTCAGGTCCTGGGCAGGAAGTGGTACCAGGCTTTGGGCTGACACTCCATTCATTTATGAATTATCTGTTGGGAACCTACGGTGTGCTGGGACTATCTGTTGGGAACCTATTGCATGCTGGGACTATCTGTTGAGAATCCACCATGTTCTGGCAAAGTCAGCCAGAACAGCTTCCTCCTGCCTTTCCTGGCTCTTTCTCTTTACGGCGTCTCTCTACTCTCTTCTGGTCACACCCTCACATCTCCCTCTTACATCAGCTTTTCACAAACCACCCAGAGCCCAAGAAGATATCACCTGGCTGGGGTATAGGATAGAGTCTTTCTCAGAAGCATGTTCCGTTTAATGGGAGACTTCTGAAAATCCCAGGGCCACAAAAGCCACAGAAAGGGCAATGTCATGGTAGACTCTGGGGGAGAGCTCAGCTCAGGAGGACCACAAAGCTCTCTGCACCAGAAAGGAGTCCCCATCCTGCCTCCCTCACGTCCTGCCTTGACTCGTTCTTTGCACACTGACTGAGCGCCCTCCCTGTGCTGGGTCCTGTTTCAGCTACTCTTCCTAGTCCACTGTGGTCTTGTGAGGTCAGCACTTGGTCAAGTTGAGGAGAAAAGCTGCAGAGCTGTGGAGACCTCCCAGTCCAACATCTCCCTACGTGGGCACCACTCTGTTGTGAGCTCTGGGTGGACACAAGGCATAATTTACAATCTCTTTCAGGGAATTATTGCTGCTAATGAGCAGAGCCAATTTATGCTTCCCAAGGGAGAGGGCAAAATCAATTAATGGAGAGTCTGACATGGCCAGGCCTGATGGCAGAGTGTGGCCTGACATCCGGAGGTGATAAGGGACTTTCTGAGGCTGAACTAATAAGGAGATTGGGGAAAAAGAAGAAAAACAACACCTCCCCCCAACATCTGCCCAATCGATTCAGTGTACAACAGGCAGAGAATGCAGAGTCAACAGAGCAGCTGGGCAAGAGTCTCTTTCCATCTGAATGAGCCCCGAGATAAGGAGAGGACAGGATGCCCATCCCGCCATCCAACATAGGTATTCACTATGGAGCCCCTCAATAGACACATATCCATACGGGTGATAAAAGACACTTTCCGAACCAGAACACAGAGGATAAGGCCCACCTGCTCCAGGTGCATGCCTTGTATTAGAAAGGGCAAGCGGGGAGAGAGAGAGCCCTGGTTTTAGATGCCACCTCCCTAACTATTCCCCCCAGATAGTTTGCACCACGTGGCTGGAGCCACAAGCTTTGAATGGGGAAGCCTGGGTTCCTGGAGTCTCCCCACAGCAACCTATGTGGAGGCGGCAGTGATGTGGGTTTGTATGGGTCTTTGTTTGCCCTCGTGACCAGAAAGTATGATCTCAGAGGTGGGCCAGCTCGTGCTGTGACCAGCAGACAGGCCAGGGAAAGCTGAAGGGTGATTCAAGGTAAAGCCTTGAAACAGACAGACAAACACACCTGTTACTAATTTTGTTCAGAAATTGCCTCTTTTTTTTTTTTTTTTAAGGATCAGGATTCCTCTCGAAGGTTGAAATCATTCCCAGAGCCCCAGTCTGAAGCATAGTTAAGAGTGAAGCTC